CTTAGCATGCATGAAACCCTGGGTTCGATTCCTCAGTACCACATAAACAGAAAAGGCCAGAAATGGTGCTGTGGCTCAAGTGGTAGAACACTAGTCTTGAGCACAGAGAGGCTCAAGGACAGCGCCCAGGCCTGAGTTCAAGCCCTAGAACTGGCCAAAAAAAAAAAAAAAACCCAAAACAACAAAAAAAAAAAAGAAGAGGTGAAGGCCATAGTGTCTTTTTTCCCCACACTGTCTATTCATTTTGAATAGCTGTTCTCCAGAAGTTTTGCTTCAAAGCAGCTCATTGGCTAAGTGACTTTGGGCAAGACTCTGAGACTCAGTTTCTACATTTGTACCCCAACAGCCATGAGTCCCATCTCTCAGGATCAAGTGAAAGAGTATAGAAGTTCACAGATGCTATGCAAAGTTAAGGGTTGAATTAAAATAGCACCTGTAGGCCAGTGCAGGCTCAGTAGCTGAGATGGTTTATATGTTTGTATTCCTGCTGCAAAATAACACACATATTACAATAGTTTAATAATCATTTCCTTTCCCCACCCCCAACTGCATTTCAAAGGAAAGAAAGCAGAACTACAGCATTCTTGGTTAATATTAAAGAGAAGTTTGAGAGCTAGGAGATCTCTTTGCCTCTTCAGTCCAATCTCTGGCATCTACAAGTCCCTTGGTTGCTATTTATTAATTTATTAATAAATTAATTTATTAATTTATTAATTTTGACGCTCAGTCCACCACTGTGACTAGAACTAAGAACAAATACCTTTGGTTGATGCATACTTTAAATACAATAATAATAGTATTATACCTAATCCATTGAGCATTTGGTATTATGCCTACTCTGCAGTTTTCATGTGTTAGCACATTTATTCCTCACCATTACTTTAAAAAAATTCAGAAAAAGGCAAATAATTTATTCAAGGCTGCAAAGCTATGGAGAGGAGAAATTGGCCCCCACCTTGCTAAATCTGGACATACATTTTCATGGAAAAATCACTCTTGTTTCTCAAGTAGCTTGCAAATGACCTTCTAGGACCTTAATTTAATCTAATTTGTTTATTTTTAAGGGACCTTCCATAGCTAATAACTCAATCTCTTTAAGCTTAAGTTTTCTCATCCAAAAAATGAGAAGATAAAGCCAGCCATCTCAAAGGGTCTTGAGGATCACATGAGATTCACTTCTAGTGCCTGGCACATAGCAAATGCTTAGTGTATTTTAGCTTCATCTGTTATTCAGTAGCTCTTAATCAGTGAAGTGCATCAGAATCATCAGTGGAAACTTTTCAAAATATTGAGTTTGGGGTCCCAAGTGGGGTATAAGGAAAAAGTTCCCCAAAGTGATTCACTGCTAAATATGACCCATATCCTTAAGGAAGAATTTTGTTCAGAACACTGTGCTCTGCATTCAGAAGAATGGCAAATGCACAATATTAGTAAGTAACTTTCTGCAAGCGATGATTAGGTGTTTGATCACTGGGTGATCAGAGATGGCCCCATAGAAGTCACCACTGGGTAGTGCTTGAAGGCTGAGCTGGCTTAGCTTGCTTACCAGGGTGGCATAGTAGTTAGGGAAAGAGGCAGGAAGTGAAGGGAATGTTAGTGGGGACACTTGGCCAGAACGGAGTCTCTGGGGAAAGGTGGGAGAGAAAGCCAAAGGGTTGATTGGGATCAAAGACTAGAAGGCTTTGGATTGTTCATCAATTGGTTGGATATAAGAGAAATCTCAAGACAGGTCAGTGAGATTTCTCAAGTCAGAGAGTGTAATGCTCAAAATTGCTCTTCTATCAGGTAAATCTGTAGCTCAAAAAAAAAAAAAAACCACCCAAAGACAAAAAATTAAGCAAGCACAAGAGACTCTATTGCAGTAGCCCAGGCCTCAGAATGAGAGCTTGGATCTAATAAAGCAATGACAAGTGGTCAGGATAGAGGAACAATTACATAAACCTGATTAGATGTTGGGGGAGGGGTGGTAAGAAGAAGAAGTGAAGATCACATTGAGATTTGAGCCTGGGTAATGGGATGAACAGGGCTGTGTCAGAAAAGGGGAAGTTGGGAAATGGAAAGACTTGGAAAAAATTATATTAAATGAAGTAAGCCAGGCCCAAAGAAACATAGGTCCCATGGTTTCCCTTATTTGCAATAACTAGTATATGTCTGAGTCAAGCAGAAAAGTTCAGATAAGTTGATGTTCGGGAAATGAACCCTAAGATATGTATTCAAATGTTTTTTTTTCTTTCATGTGATTGTATCTAACACATTTATAAGATTATTTCTTTGTTGCTTTGTTTGTCCCTCCCCCATGGTATAATCCCTGCTTTCACTGTATTTGATGTCAGTATAATTTGTGGAGGGGAAGGGAAAAAACAAATCGTTTAAATACAGATACAGGTGAAGTGGAGATCAAGGGAGAGGAGAGGGACACTCCCCCCATGGGGAGTCATCTACATTGAGAAGTATTATTTGGAGCCCTGAATTGTTGAGCTCTGTGGGAGGGAAGACCAGCATGGAATTTTAACCTAAGGTCTGTGGTTTAGCTGGGTAGGTATGAACTATAAGGGTTACAAGCAGAATCCTAGGTGTATTAAGAAGTCCCAGAGAGTCTGGTGGCTTATATTTATAAACCCAGATATTTCGGAGGTATACATAGGAGGATTACAGTTGGAAGTTAGTGCAGGCAAGAAAGTGTAAGACCTTACCTGAAAAATAACCACAGCAGGATCAGGCACCAATGGCTCACACCTGTAATCCTAGCTACTCAGGAGGCTGAGATCTGAGGATCATGATTCAAAGCCTGGGCAGGAACATCCATGAGACTCTTCAATTAACCACCAGAAAATTGGAAGTGGAGCTGTGGCTCAAGTGGTAGAGTGCTCTCCTTGAGCTGAAGAGCTGAGGGACAGTGCTCAGGCCCAGAGTTCAAGTCCCACAGCCAGCCAAAAAAAATAATGACAGCAAAAAAGACCAGAGGTGTTGCCTAAGTGGTAGAGCAATTTCTCCAAGTGATAGGCACTGAGTTGACTCCTCCTCTGTCGCCTCAAAAAAAATATCTATACACAATCTGTTTAGATCATTTGTCCTAAACAAGGTTAGAGATACCTGGGCAATTACTGAGAGGGGGGGCCCTAATGGGGCTCCTAGAATGCTTACATAGTAGGCACTGGATCTCTGCACACCTGACCATCATGCCAGATTCATTCTTTCACTCATAGATAGACAATTATCTCAGCACTGTTGTTGAACAGACTCTTCTTTCCTCAACTGAATTGTTTTAGCCAGAAGAAACATTTTTTTTAAGATAATCTTGATTCAACAGTCTAGCCATGGCAAAAATAACCACCATTGTAGAATATTCAGGCATTGTAAGCCCTTTCCAGGGGTGATAACTGAAAGGAATAATGCCTTAGGAAGAAGATTCAGCCAGGGTGATTCTTACAGATATCATGAAAAGCTCTTGGACTGCCAGACTGCCCAGTGCCAGCTGCTGACAGCAAGGAAAGTAGGGGAAAGACGAATGTCCTTCAACAGCACCAGGCCCTGGGCTTTACCCTGAGGGCAGTCTGTCATGCTTTATCCTTCTAGACAGTTAGAGGAATCACGGTGAAGAGGGTGAAGAGATGATGGCCTAGCCCAGCAGACCTTTGGATTGCCAAAACAGTTAACCAAGAGCCTTTTCTGGGCAAGGAAGACACACAAATCATCATATTGTTTTCAAGATTCTTCTTTACTTTTTGTTTTTCCCAATGAGAATTGCCAAAATGGACTAAAAGTGCGTGTGTGTGTGTGTGTGTGTGTGTGTGTGTGTGTGTGTGTGTATCAGTGTCAGGAAAATGTAGAGAACAGATAACTGAAAATAATATTGTCACATGTTTGTGTGTGCACCTATATTAGATACATAATATATTGCATATATCAGACTTGTTTTAGAAATGCGTTTGGCAACATTGTCATCCTCTTCCCAAATTCACTTACTCATCCTCACTCTTTCCCAGAGGAAGGTTCTAAGTTCTTTTTTTTAATACATTTTTTTATTGTAAAAATACTTTACAGAAGGGTTACAGTTACATGAGTAAGGTAATGAGTACATTTCCTCTTGAGAATTTTGCCTCCTCTTTTGTTTTTCCCTTACCATCCCTTCTTTCCCACCTCCCCAACTACTCCTTGTTACAATGGGTCAACCTGTAGAAGATTCTAAGTTCTAATCACAGCATGACTCTGAGGGGATGCAAACAGGAAGCAAACTGGCCACCTTGAGCCACCAGCTTTGTGAAGTGTCCATAGCCTCACCCATCATATAAAGCTCATGACTAAAAAGGCCCAGCATTTAGTCCTGAAGGTCAAAGGTGAAGGGAGTGTTGCTCATTCTGACCCACAGCACAGTTTTCTGGAATCTGTCCTTTTGACTCCTGGGACGGAGTCCACTTTAACTCCCTGCCAATGGCTTCTGAGACCCTCAAAATTCTTTCCTCAAGACTCTTAAGCAAGGGTATAAAAATCCCGACCTCCCTGAGGAGTTTATTAAAATTCCTCTATTTTGGTTGGTTTGGGGAGTTATAGGTTACCTTCATTTTGAAGAGAATACATGGCTTTTCCACCTCAGCAAATGGTTCTACTTCTGTGCCACTAGGCACAGTTGCCCAGTGCAGACCTCTTGTGGTTTGAGTCATGTAGGGATCATGGCATTACTGTAGGGAGGGAGGAGGGATATGAGGGCAAAGGGGACTAAGCTTAAATTCTGTCCCACAGGAGGGGAAAACAATCTCAAATGCCCAAATGCCATTACTGAAGGCTGTGTTCTGTGCTAAGCAGGTGATCTCCAGAGACAGTGTCACTCAACGCTCCTCTCACGGTACAGACTGTCCCCTGGGTCTCATGGTTGCGTTTCCTGTTTCCACGACAAAATTTAGTTCAATGAGCATTTGTGAAGGGCTGGCCAGGTGCCAGGCTTTACGGCAGACATGTGGCAGCAGGTGGGAGGGGACTCAGATGCAGAGGACACTCAGGCCTAGACTCAGGAAGGTGCTCCTCTGATGAGAGACACAGATCCAGACACGACTACAACCAGTACCAAGGTCTGTGGAGTTCAGGCAAGGGTCTGAGGTTAATTCCAATAGATGGAAAAGAAGGAAAAGAATTCCAGCAGGCAAGAATTCCCATGGCCAAGATTAGAGTGCAAGAGTTTGAGAGAGCAGTTACCTTTGGCCCTTTGGACTCTCTCTGGGTGCTCACAAAGGTTCCTGGGCCCTGGGGCTCCTTGGTAAGTTCCACTTGTCTCCACTTCCAGAGGCAGGCTGAAGTCCCTTCTTTCACACCATGAAACATGTATGGCAGGTGTGTGAACCAGGAGCAATTCTTGCCTTTATTTAATCATACTTAATAGATAATCTATTTAGTTTGTGTGGCAAGCAGTGTTTACCTTTTTATTCTGCCCCTCCTCCTCTCCCAGCCACATCCACAGGCACACTACCCCTCCAGCGGCTTTTTTGTTTTCTTTTTCTTTTGGTCATGGGGCTCGAACTCAGGGCTTATGTGCTGTCCCTGTGCTCTTTTGTTCAAGGCTAATGCTCTACTACTTGGAGCCACAGAGCCACTTCTGGGTTTCTGGTGGTTAATTGGAGATAAGAGTCTTAAGGGCTTTCCTGCCGAAGATGGCAATTCTCAGATCTCAGCCACCTGAGTAGCTAACATTACAGGCATGAGTCATCAGCACCTGGCCCCTGTAGTGTTTTAAGTGCTTATAAGTCATTGCTTCTGGGCAGATCTGCTGCTTGGAAAGCTGGCACTTGGTCTTGGCCTAGGCTACTGGCATTATTTATCTTCCCCCCTCCCCAGGATTGCCTGTCTAGAAAGGAGGTGACCAAATCAGTTGTATTTGAGCACAGGGCTTTGAACACATGGGATTTAGGATGCACCTTTGAGGAGCTCATTGGTTAACAGGCCTTGCCTCTTTCAGCCATTAGGCTGGCAGCACTGACTTTTTTCAGGGCTGTCCTATTGTGTTGGTTGCTGCTGGTTCCGTGTGTGTGTGTGTGTGTGTGTGTGTGTGTGTGTGTGTGTGTGTGTGTGTGTTTAAAGTACAGTGGCTGTTTTGTAAAGAAGCTTTTGTTCAATGGGAAAAAGTGCTTCTACCTTCCAACAGGAAAAGCGTCAGAGACGGGAGGAAAAAGGCAGGACAGGAGTCTCCTCATGGAGCCCTCTGGTGGATCTTCACTGTAAGCACAAGTCCTGCAGCTTCCATGGGTGCTGAGCTCCCTCAGATTGCTCTTTCTAAAGAGATGGTCTCTCTCAGCTCAGGAAAATGACTTCTGACCATGACAGCACTCCAGATGGCTGCCCCATTAGTGGGCTTTCACAGTCCTGGAAGACGAACCTCTCTGTTCTTTCTGCCCAACCTCATCTCCAGTTCTATCTTACAGACCTTTCTGATTTACCTAGGCTTGTGCATATCTCCCCTCTGCTCAGGAAGCTGTGTCCAGAACCTCCTCAAGTCTGGCCCCTTCTCATTGTTTGTATTCAGCTCAAATGAGCCTTCTGCAGAGAGGCCTTCTGCCCTTGCTGCAAAAGAATATCTACCTCAAGATGTGTTGTAAGATTATCCCACTGTAGTCATTCCTTCTCATCTTCAGTCATCTAATCTCATTCATTCACGTCTTCCCTTCCTGTGTTGTCTGTGTGAAGTCCCAAAGAGCAAGGTCTTGTCTGTATCTTCAGCTGACTCTCACTGAATGCTCAGTAATCACATGTGGGAAAGTGAGTGAAACTGAAAACATAAAACATGAAAAGGCAGAAGCTGTAAGGTCTGGGCAATCTGAGGTTAGACTGTACTCATGGGCTGTTTCTTTCCAATTAGCAGTTCATGGAAGTGTTCTCTAACATAGCTAGTATCCATTTTTCTCTGGAATGATACTCTGTTTGCCAGTAATTTGGTTCTTTCCCACCATTGAGCCCTCCTTACTTTCTTTCTTAGCTTTCTTAGCTTTTCTTTCTTTTTCCCACACTCTTTAGCAGTTTCAATGGAGTTAGTTACCAGGGAAGCCAATTTCCCTCACGGAGGTGTTACAAGTTTTTAGGTATTTCCAAATATCCTATACAAAAGTATTAGACCATTAAGAGAAATTAAAACGTCATCAGTTCAAACTCTTCTGCTTAGCCTCTCTCCCCATCAAGTGCACTTGTGGGGCATCCTCATACTCCTTTGTAACTGTAACTTTGAAACTGCTGTTTCCTCTGTTCCTTGGGGAGGGGACTCTTAGATTCTAGGGGCACCAGCCCATTGTCAGCCCATTCCCTATGTCTGGGCCTAGGTTTGGTCAAATGTTCTCCTGCAGTGTGTGTGTGTGTGTGTGTGTGTGCGTGCGCACACACACACGCGCACACATACGTGCAAGTGTGTGCATGTGTCACACACACGTGCATGTGAATACACACATAAGTGTGCATGGTATGTATGTGGGGGGTTAATTTTCACACATTTAGAAAGGATGAGCTTGAAGAATGACTAGTTCAGTACAATCAGCAGTTTCTCCAAGTATTTTCGGAGTCATTTTCTTATAATCAGTCTAGCTACGAAGTGTCCCTCCCTCATTTTTTTTGTAAAGTAGTTCTGTTCATTTTGTTGTGCCAGTCCATTTTGGGCCATACCTGAAATGAATCCTTTTTCCAGAGTTCCATCACCCCAAACACATAAACACCACTCATTCAAGGTAGTTTGTAAAAGATTTTATAGTAGAGTTGGGAGGAGATTTCAACAATTCACAACTCCGTGTTGAAAACAGGCTTCTAGGCTCTGGTCTTCCATCCCTGAGCTTTTTCATTGGCTGCTGAATCACACATAGAGCCGCATTCTCACCCAGTTTGCTACTGCTTCTATCCGTCATCCTCTCTTATCATTCTTTTCTTCCTGAATTCTCATTTCTTTTTAGCTATGGAGAATAATTTAGCTTTTCCTGTCTCTCTTTCCACATTTTGCTATGAGCTATTTTGTGTGTGTGTATGATCTATTTTGTATATATATATATATATGAGCTATTTTATATACATACATACATATATAGGTTCTCAGCAGATCCAAAGAGAATTTTATTTATCAAGAAAGCAGTTGTGGTATAAGCAGAATTTCCTCCTCCTTTGCAAAGAATGTCCAATGGGATCTTGTATATCATTGAAAAGAGAAGTCCAAAGTTGGGTTTGGCTTTGCAGAGGGAGGCTCCTGATCTGCTTCCAGTTCTCTTCTGAGATTGTAAATAGCATAGGCTGGGGATGATAGCTATAATCAAGCCACTAAAGTTTTTTTTGAGAAGCTTTACCTTCATAGGTCAGCTGAGAGTACCTGAGGATTATTGCCCTTTTGTTAGGGAATGGGGAACTTTCCATTTTGAGTGAACTGGCTATTTACATCAGCTTCTCTCAGGTGAAATTAAGGAAAAGAAATAATCCCTGCACTGCGCGTGCGTGCGTGCGTGTGTTTGCTTTAAGGCTCGAACTCAGAGTCTAGGAGCAGTCCCTTAGCTTTCCTGCTCAATACTGGCACTCTACCACTTGAGGCCCAGTTCCACTTCTGGTTTTTTGGAAGTTAATTGGAGATAATAGTTTCTTGGACTTTCCCACCAAGCTGACTTTGAACCTTGATCCTTAAATCTGAGCCTCTTGAGTAGCTAGGATTTGCAGATGTAAGCCGCCGGCACCTACTCATCTTCTGCACCTTTTTTCCTGGCAATGGGAGAGGCATGTTGGGGACAGAAGAGTTTATAGGGGCTGGAATTGGTTTTGAATCAGATTGTACTATGGAGGGTTCCCAGGAAGTGAGAAGGAAGCTAGTTAGAGAATGTGCATGTGGAGGGGCCCTTCACTTGGCAGTGGAGAGACCCTACGCCCAGAGCAGTGAGATTAATGTGGCCAAGTTCACAGATCAGGACAGTGTAATTGTGGTCCATTGGGCATACAGTTGGTGAAGTAGGAGTCCTTTAATTTTCTCTCGCCTGGGGGAAGAGGCCTACCCAGGGGTGTCAGGCTGCTCTAGAAAACCCTGAGCACTTTGAATCAAGGAAAGATGAGTCACCTGCTCCTTCATTTTAGTCTTGAACTTTGAAAATTTGACTTGTGGCTCAGTGCTTGAGGTGGTGTGTGTAGTTGGCTGAGGGGGTGGAGTGACAGGGAGGATTTGGAAGGTGGTGATTAGATTCTCTGAGATATCCTGGGCTTGGAGAAGAGCTTGGGAAGAAGGCGGATTCCTTTGCAGGGGTGGAATAAAGAAATGTAAATGGGTCATTTTATGTCAGTTCTGGACCTCCTAGAGTGCAATAAAAATAGTATACAGTTGGGGTTTCCTTTGTCAGAAGGACCGCTCTGCATCCTGGGATCAGAGGGGAAATATTATGATGGAGGATTGTTTGTGGCAGAGTGTCTGTTGTGACCAATTTAACTCAGCTCACTAAGGATTTCTCATTGTGTCCGTCACAAGGTCAGATGAATTGTGGAGAGCCGAAGAAAGACTTTCTGGCATTACACTCCCCAAGACATTTTGTTTTGTACTTCTTGAACTTGGGGCCTCATGCTGTCACCCATAGCTAATGTTTGGCCATTTCAATCCAGGTTTTTTATGGTCAATTGGGATGGAATCCTGAAGACTTTTCCTGCCTAGGCTGGCTTTGAACCAGTCCTCCAGGTCTCAGCCTCTCAAGTAGCCAGTGTTCTAGCTGTGAGCCACTGATGCCCAGCAGTTTTGTACACTTTAATGGGTTTCATTATGACATTTTCATAAACATATATAACATACTTTAATTATATTTACTCCCCTGTTACCTTCACATTTTCCTTCTTCTGTTTCCGTGGGGTCTCTTCCTTTTCCTAAATAAGGACCTGACAATCTTATTAAGAAATCAAGCTGGGTGCTGTTGGCTCATGCCTGTGATCCTAGCTACTTAGGATGCTGAAATCTGAGGATCAAGGTTTGCAGGCAGGAAAGTCTGTGAGACTTATCTCCAATTAATCACCAAAAGCTACAAGTAGAGCTGTGACTCAAGTGGTAGAGCCCCAGCCTTGAGCAAAAAAGCTAAGGGACAGCATCCAGACCCTGAGTTCAAGCCCTAAAGCAAGCTCTCTCTCTGTCTCTCTCTGTCTCTGTCTCTCTCTCTTTCTCACACACACACACACACATACACACACACACACACCCCACAAGACCCACTTATATGGAATAGATGGGAAGTGAGATTGAATAGTTTTGATGTTCCAAGTCCTGATACTGGCAATGCATAT